TAACACCATAATATTGCGTATAACGTTTACCTGTATTTGTATTAAATGTGTATGGTCTGTAATGTAACTTGTATAGGATTACGACTTATAATGTAGGCTATCTCAGGTCTACACGCTCTCTCGAGCAGCGGACCTGGAACTGAAATGAACCATTGTACGAGACAATCGGTGTAGTGAGGATAACTGTGACGGTGGAGGTAATCACGTTCAAACAGACTCTTACTGCATATTTCCCACCTCTCACAATGGAAAAAAAAGTGGGCAATAAATCACTTGCTTCCACTGTCCACTGCACACATAATCCCCTTTCAAGGCCAATCATGATTACCTGACCATGAAAGGGGATGTGCCCAGTGGACTGTGGTCACAAATGCTGTAAGAAAGGGGAGATAATCAATCAGTAAGTAACGATGAAGTCAATACAGTGGAAAGGATAAACTTAGTTGACACATTTAAAATAAGAAAAGAGAAAAAAGCTAAAAATGGTAATTTCATGATTGAAAAACAAACAAAAACAAACACATGAGAGGATAAGCATTTCCTGGAAAAGTTTAGAATCTTTAGGAGCTGTTCCTTTATACAAAATTGCACATTCAAATATACCATTAATTGAAAGAACTGGAATTCCTTGAAGATTGTTTAACCCTTGCATTGTATGTATGAAAATTGTTTCAAAATCCTGTACCTTTACCACATCTTGAAAATTAANTGTACATGTAAGTTATCTGCAGTGTAGGGTAGGTAAAAAGATTGTCCAGGTAAACATGTTTTACTCATTTTTTCTGTTTTGTTCGAGTTGGGAAGCAGGCAGTATGTCAGTTATTGCATGATTTCTCGTCACTCGGAACTTATTACACCATCGCTTCGCTCGGGTGTAATAAATCCCTTGTTACTCGAAAACCATGCAATAACCTTTACTTGTTGCCTGCGCAAACTATGCCGAACAGAGAGTCTGGTCAAACCCAGTGCTTTCGTTTTGTGACATCATAACGAGGCTTACCAGGATTCTGGTAAATTATCTCATTGGTCAAAGGTTGACACACCATTTTCACTTTTTGAGGTCAGAATTTTAGTGGCCCAAAATTGCATTGAATATTTTAATTCATTAAAAATTGACCTGTATATACATTCTTGAAGTATCAATGTTTTCACTATTAACGAGAAAAATGGAAGAAAATGCTTCAAAAAGAATGATTTCATGTTTTTTCATTGGATATTTTACAATAATTCTTGAAGCTTACAAGGCTATTGATACAAGTGAAGCCAGATTACCTGAGTGAGAACTTGAGGGTGTTTTGAATAGTGTACAGGTGAAATCTCACTTGTTTTCGTGCTTTTTCCAAACTTCAGTCAGCCTTGTAGGCTTTGTGCTTAGTTATGATTTATTCAGTGGAAATAGATGGCATTATTCTGGAGATTTGACACATTTTCTTACATTGTTCCGATTATAGTGAATACACGGGTAGTTTAGGAATGCATGCATAGGTAGTTTTTTTTTTTAATTTCATTATTCAGTGAAATGTTTAATGGCGTTGACATAACGTCAGAATACGAAAGTAAAAACACTGCACTCTGGTAATTTTAAAGTCCTGTGTTTGACCAGACTCTTGAATTACAAGTGATCAAGCGTCTGGTTAAGCGAGATTACGGTGGAGGCTGCGGCGAGGGTGACGTGCACGGTTTGTCGTCAGGTACGCCGGGTACGTCAGGAAGTGTAAAACGACTGTTATGTGCCTTTACACCAGCGCGAGATATTACGAGTGGCTACATAACAAATCGTATTCCACTCTTAATGGCCATGTAATTTGACATTTATTCATGTATGTGCTGTTTAATAAATGTATCGGAATCGCAGTTCTTGTTAGGATTTGTCAAACAATATAGAATATCAGCGCAAAGATGAAGACAACAACGGGATAGAAAGAGAAGCATAAACCGTTCCACATGCATTATGTTTGGAGCTAGCTGCGTCACAACAATAGTTCCAGAAACGTTTCAATGAGAACCATTCAAATGAACCAACAATGATTTAGGTTTCTTTTCATCAATCAATGTTTTAATGATTATCATAACAACATGAATAATGATTTTTTTTATACTAAAACCATTCAACAGATTGACGTTTACGAAAATAGTAATGACGTCACATATATGGCAAAACGGCGCGTGCACTGTCAAAGTAAAGGTCATCTCAATACAGATCGAAGTCGGAACTTTTTACTAGTTTACACGAACTGTCATTTCCTATAACATGGACGCGTTTCTTCCTAGGTTTGTTGATGAATATTAACTTTGATGTTTCCGCCTGTCACTGAACCAGATAATATACTGTGGAGTCCGCCATGAAACTGGAACACTGATGAAGTTGACCGGTTACACTAGGTCGCAATTGATTATGTGTGTCAGTGAAGTTAAGGTGGAATTTAAACATGCAGTTGTTGTATGTGTTTAACTCTAACAGTCGTGTTCGTTTATTATTTAATTCTTTCACAATGCCCATGCCACAGCCATAAATCAATGTCTATTATTTGTGTGCTATATTGTTTTTATTGAAAGGCGATATTGCACGGAAATAGCCTGTGTTATATAATATGTATTAAAAGAAATAGCATTTTCATGTCTCGGTTATTTGGCAATGCTAGTTTAACAAGATCAGAGTTCAAACACTTCTGTTGTAATGTCTGTTGAAATGTTCCGACCTGTCAGTTCCTTTGGTCCTATTGGCACCCGAGCTAATTCACCATCGCTGTACAATTAAGTGTCGTACTTTCATATTTGTCGTATGTTATACTTCATTCCAGATGTAGTATGGAATTCTGAGTGTGTCAACCATCATTTTATCATGTGTATCTGTTTATCATGTTTTCAAAGCAGCTTTTGCCCAAAACATATTCAGCTATGGTTTCTTAATTGCACAGATTGAAATATTCCCCTATGCAGAAGATGGAACTTGGTCTATGTTCATTGGTAGTTTCCTCACTTTCTTTAAAATTTTAATGCTTAAAATTTTTATATCTCTTTTCCTAAGTCTGTTTTAGCAATGGCAAGCAACTACTAACTGATCATGAAGCTACCATATATTCAAGTAGCCATTGCCGTATTGACGTAGGTTTGTTGGGTGGACATTTCCTCATACATATTTGTGGGTTCCACACTTGATTTGTCTAGACTGTCATAGTGGACGGTGTCTTGTGAGGTCATACCATGTTTCAATTCATTCACCATCGTAAGACGCCTGCAAATATAGTTTTCACTGATTTACAATATAATTATTATATTATTTTTTTCGAAGGAATTTTTGTAGCTCACAAACTCTGTTGTAGAGGACACAATATAAGCTTTGGTATTAATATTATTGATATTTATATTACAACCACCAGAACTATGCTTATTTTATGAATGAATAAATATATAATTCGCCTGCAGGTAAACAATTTCTTTCATTGATGTGATGCACTAGTCTTTGTTCACCTCTACCTACCGTTTGTACAGGATCACATTAGCGACCGTGGCCACCGCTACCACCAGTAAGGTCACCACTATGGGGACAACGACACCGACTGAAAGGGATAACGAAGACTTAATGAGTAACGATTTAATCATAAATATGACGGAATTGTCGATCCAGACGACCGGAAATTTGAATTCCCAGTTAAAAAAAGATATTATATAAAATAGTTGCTCGTTACACGTAGTTTCTTGTCTTATGTCTAAACGAGCCAAACACAAATCTACTTCCTTTCATCCGATACTAAAGATTTTCTTGTTTTGATTGTTTGTAACTTTCATCTTATCAATAGCTTTTGGGCATTTAAGGACGTGTCAGTGTTTGGTAGCAGAGAAAAGCTCGAAGGGTTTAGTTCTCTAAAGACACACTTTGAAAATTGGTGTTGCTGACACTTTACGTTAATAAGGTTCTGAACCACCAAATCATTACACAATAATACGACTCTACAGATGAAGGACTGTGTTATTTACAAAAAGGACCCAGAGAAAATAACCGACCTATGGCCATTTAAATATTTTGTTTGTTATTGATAACAATAAGTCATTTATTAAATAAATTATCAAGAAATTCATGCTAGGAAAACTTGTTCAAAATCTAAAAACACATCAACGATGATATAAGGTATCTTCCTATTCACAATGCAAATGATATCATTTTTTACTTAATAGTTGATACTTTCTCTGTAAATCTCAACAACAAACATTCTGTTTTATTGATTAAAAAAATCTTCTCGAATTAAAGAGTGTTTTAATTCTAGTTTAGTTTTAAAGATAAAATATATGATAGTTAATGACGTATTTATTTACATACGCCTTACACTTGGTCCCAGTCAGCCTTGGCAGAGAATGGTGAAATGCTATTCAGACCACAGGAAGTTGTGCTTTTTGCAAAATTCAAAATGAAACAGAAAACCCCTTGGTTCCCCGTCACATTTCTTACATAATAAACTTGTATGGCACATTGTTTTTTAATATCTGAGCTCGTCAAAATAAAACAAAAAATATGCAACGTTTTTGAAATATGTTTCATATTCAAACTACTTCTGTTTGTTAACTTAAATATGAATCGTACACGGGGTTAAAACCAGTTTCACCTGTTTCTATTTCTAGTCATTGTCTTTAGGAAAGGAAGAAGGATTTCTAGAAAAGTTATAAATCATAACCAGTAAGTGTTTATTTGTGACGTTTAGATTACTAGTCTGGCACGCACTCTGTCACCCTCATCAGACAAATGACCAGAGAGGATCACAAAGGTGTAAACTATGTACGAGTTGGCAATATTGACCTGAATATCAATCTTGTTCCTTATCAACATAGAGATAAAAAGAACACATCTTGGTCATGGTAAAATATAAGCATATGAAAATGCATTGCAAATGTGTCCATAAGTCGCACAAACTTTATTTTCAAGTCACTTTTAACTAACAACAAACCATTATACTGGCAATGTACGAAAGATATTTAATTTTATAAACAAGTAATAAAAGACACCTTCACGACAAAATGGTAAATTGCTATTCTTAAAGAAATGGCTAAACAGAGTTCCGTGGGAAGTCTTCGCCTAAAACGGAATGTAGTGTATATATTTAAGAAAAAATAGATAAATACTGTTATTATAAGTTCCACAAGGCGAACGCTGTAAAATGTTATTTCAACTAATCTCATGATTTAAGCAGACGCACTTAGGGAAACATCCCCCAACCCCCATCAAAATAAAGAAAGGAAGAAAAAAGGATCAATGTTCAAAGATGATACAATTAGAGCGGCAACACCAACTTATTTTGGCCTCTGCTTTGTCCCTAAAAAAGGTAGAAAGCCTTCGATTTTACGGTGAGTATTTAATAGCATTGTAGTTATCAACATACTTAATGGATATCCCTGTGGATGACTTTTTTGAACACATTTCTCCTGTCCTGATGTAGTCTGTCCAGTATTTGTATCATTGTATGTAGTTATCTCCCTTGACTGAGTGCTGGTTGCTTCCATTGATTCAGTGGTTGTGGTTGTAGTCAATGGCTGGACGGTAGTGGTTTGTACGTACTCAATGGTTGTAGGCGTGGTCGTAGTGATGGTCTTATTTGTAGATTGATCAGTTTTCCCTTGAGGTTCATTACAGGTCACACTCAGCTCAAGGCTTGCAGACCCTATTGACACATTGAGATATTTTCATGCAAACTTTAATGTTAATCTATCTTCTCATTACATCCTCAATCAAACTTTTATATAACACTTTATATCATTAACCAAAAAATATTTCTATCAAAGTAATATAGAAAGTTCATGTCAGACAATTAAAATAGCTTATTAGTTAAGAAAATCAAGTATTTGAGTATAGATTATGGCAGAACATTTGCTTATAGTAATCTGATAAGTTATGTGTGCGAATAAACATATTGGATGCCTAGTGAGTTTACTAACTTGAATTCTTGTGATATCCCTATTAATACCATCAGTACAATTATTAAAAACTAATTGAAAACGAATTTGTGTGTTCCATAACATTCAGAACTTTTGCTTCGACAACAAACTCAATATTTTATGATAGTTTTATACAGTTGCAATACATACCTTGTAAAGTAATTAATATACAATGTCCTGATATCCACGATGTAGCAACGTCTGCCCGTGACAGCGTCAGTGTCAACATGTCTGATATCCCGAAATTGATTGTCGAAATGGAAGGGATTGAGGTACAAACAGTTTTAGTGAAACTACTGGATTTAGTAGAATTTATGCTAAGTATACTTCCACAGTTCTGTAATGGTGCTACACGCGGATATTCCTCCACTACTACTGTTGTTGTCGCTGTAGTTGGCGCTGATCCTGTATCCAAGGTAACGGTACAGGAACAGCTGTTTGTACCTGGACCTCCCGTACCCCAACTGTCAATCACAACACGTGTGTTTTTCAATGTTCCGCTTTCACACATCCGTTTAACTTTGACAGAAAAAAATATAAAAACTTAATTCTTTTCATATAGCTGCAAACAGATGTTTTTTTTTGTCAATTTATCATGATGGGTCGATCTTGAAAATTGTCATTAATGCACAGAATATTCAAGAAGAGCAGTAAAAAATTCACCTACGCACCAACACATCCGGTTTTATTGATTAAATCACGAGGATTCATTCCAACCAAGCCAAAACAAAAAACCAAACACAACCCTACACGAGCACACCCCAAAATGGTGTTGGTGTTTAACGCATTAACTAATAAAAAGCGCGTAATTATTTTATCTTATAACAACTACTTTCCGGTAAAAGTGTAGAAAAAGAAAAGAAAAACCGATATTAACCTCTATATTTTTCGACTTTATTTGCTAAAACTCAAAGGGTTTAGTTCTCAAAAGACACACTTTGAAAATTGGTGTTGCTGACACTTTAGGTTAATAAGGTTCTGAGCCACCAAATCATTACACTATAATAAGACTCGACCGATAAAGGACTGTGTTATTTACAGAATCTGCAGATTAATCATGGGGAAAAGATGAAGTAGTTTGAACTGAAACAATTAATTTAATCGAGATACCATATGTATCTTTGTGCCACACTTTCATTAGGTTCTTAAACAGAAACTGCATTTCTCTTTATAATCCACGCAAAGGAATATGGTCAAGCAGAAGACACATTTCTGCTGTTTTCCAAATTACAATACGTTCGAAGAAATTCTGTTGGAAAACTCTTCGAGTAATTTAAATGAATGGTTGCTTTAAAAAGACGTCGATTTCACATATTTACTAAAAGCGTGAATTGGAGACAGCTCCTGTATTGAATCGATAATGATGTACTCGATCAATACATATGAATGATTCAACAGTTGATAATGTTATAAAAACTTGAACACGAAATACATATTTTCTCAAAAATCTTTAAAGATGCGAACTGTTAAAAAACAATGCCACGTTTTTACTACTACGCAAGGAATTCATATATGCTCTATTTTAACAGTTATCTTAATTACCATTTGATAAGAGATAGTAAGAAAACATATTAGTATCCTAAATTATGATATTTGTATCGACAACTATTATATAACATGACCTTACTGTGATAGAAGTTGTCCAAACTAGTCTGGTCAGTACATGCCGTAGTGTTGACACCTACAACATATACTCAATGTAAATATGTGAAACGAGACAATAACCGCCAGTTAAAACAACATTTACAAAAACAGCATTCATATTAGTGGTGTTGTTTTTAAACTGAAATTCACGACTGAAACTAATATATATTATCATGAACTATATTTAGACACATGATTGAGGTGAACGCAACTAATCTTGTTCATCGTTTGTTATCAGTTTAATAACCCTATTAAAGAACCCTATAACCTTAAAATCAACTACATCATTCATAAGGAGACAGATTTTTTTATTAAACGCTTTTAAATACTTTCACTAAAACCGACATAATATAAAACTCTTTCATGCCAAGAGGTGAAGGATAGGGAAAATCCACCTGGGGGGTTTCAAATGTGGTAAACCCGAGGCTTCCTACACCCCTTGGCATGAACGAGATTTTTTTTCTCTTATTCTTACTAACAGTATAGGCTCAGCAACCATGAGAATGCGTTTGGGCTTGCTACCATTTTGAAAATACAATTTTGTCCTCTGACCTTTTTTTTGACGAAAACGAATATGCGAGATTCAGCATACACCGTACTTGCAAATATACCAATTTTATAGCTAATAGACGATATATCATCTACGTACTTATGTCAGGATGAAGCCTAAATTTTAAACACACTAGCACATTTGTACTCCTTTCACATTTACTTACAACTGAGCATCAACAAACAAATCACACATTTATATTTGCATATAACTATTAATGCTACAAGACTATGACTCATTTTTATGTAAGATACACTATGTAACATCCAAATCAATACTGTTTATATTTTAAACAATACCTACTAAATAATGGATGTTTTACTCTTTAAAAACGGAATTTTATAAAAAAAAAAAAATACGTCCCAGATATCTATACTTCCTCGTTCGTATTACCTTTAATATAAGCGTACACAATCACCGCCATGTACGTATATCCTAGGGAGTTGGGTCTGTCGCGTCTACTGTCCATGACTTCCCTCGCTGTTTTAAAAAGGGTAGGGAATTGTGACGTGACGTTCGGTCAATGCGTCAACCTCTGTGTCCAAAGGTCCAGCTGGTACATTGCATCAAGACCTGAAAGAAGGAAGTTACCGTAAAACTTTCCTATCGAATGTATACGTTTCATAGTGTGTGCAAAATGTAATTAATACCGCACTGGATTATGCATGCACATCTGTATAACCTTTTCGAACGCAGTGGTGCGCTGACCTGCACTCCTTTAGTGCATAATGCAACATAATTACAGATATGTTCGTTTTGATAAAGTGGTAGACCCTTATTTCAATTGAACCGTGCATGAATAAAAAAGCAAAATTACTTTAACCATTCAAACATTAATCTATTGATATGCTATTATATAATTGATGTTGTCCCTGTGAACAAATGAACAATGCAAATGATTTAAAATTTACAATCGTGGCTCATAGTCAAAACAAAAACATTTGGGCTCACAAAACGATAATTTAGGCACTCGTTTTAGTAATTAAAGTTGACGAAGTTTGATATTGACAGCAGTTTAACTGCTTTTATAAAACTGTGTAAATCAGGGACAGATTCAAAATGGAGAAGAAAAGTTCATATATGGGTATATCTTTTACTAAACGTAGTACTTTTGCAAATACAGTGCAAACCGCGGTCATGTTTTTGACCCGGCCAATGTGATTGCGAAAATTATTCAGGTATAGCATAACTATCTATAATGATAAGTTGATAGGACACTCCAGACGGCTGTATTAAGTAAGTATTAGGTACGATACAATAGAACATCTAGTTACTCAGGTTGGGCATATAAAAACAATTGATATGCATTATGTTTCAAACTATTTTTTTAGCGGACTGTTAATTCCGTAGTAAATCAGATTTGTGTTTAATTAGGTAAATATGTAATGGTGTATATCATTGTTCGTCCTACATTGACAGTGTCTTGTTTCAACTGCGACAATGTGCAGAATCCTTCGGACTGTCAGTCAACCGTTACCTGTAGATCCGGTCAGGTAAGTTATCTGACTTTCCAGTCCCAATTTACTATAGCCACGGTCAGGTAAGTCGGTTATGTCAATGAATAGAAACCGTAACCTGTAATTCTGCCTAGATAAGCTATTTCTGTCATTATAAAGCGACCGTTACCTGCATTCTCAACCAGTTTGATTGTATCCGTTCCGTATTAGCGATCGTTACCTGTAGTTCCAGTCAGGTAGTCTGTTTCTGTCGGTATATAGTGACTGATGCATGAAGTGTCGGTCAGGTAATCTATTTATGTCAGAAAATAGTGACTACCACATGTAGCTCCGTTCAGGAAAGCTATCTTTAATACTTTATGTTTGTAGTAACCATAAAAGTAGTTCCGGTTTAGTACATTGTAAGTTATTTTATCACTTTGAAGTAACCGCTTCATTTAATTCCGCACAGGTAAGCTATTGTAATTACTATATAATGACCGAAACCATTAGTTCCGGCCAGGTAAGCTTTTTTAACAATATAGAGTAATCGCCGAAACAGTTCACGATTAGTAAATTATAGTTTCACCATAGAGTGACCGTTACATTTAGTTCTGGTCAGTCAATAATTTACATAGTGACCATTACCCATAGTCATTGCTCAATAAGCTTTTTTGGCACAATCAGTGACCGTTACCTTAATCCGCATCAATGGATTTGCTATTGTATATTAACACTTATGTTCGTATCCCTGGTTTCTATTTGAATGTTACTTTGCTGTGCTGTGTTTTTTTTGTTCTTGTTTCTTGTTATGTTTTATTTTGCAGTTGGGAACTGATGAAGATATATACGTTTAGTAACGTATTTGTTGGTTCTACAATGCTATATAACAATCATAGAAGGATGCAACTAATTTTTTCGTCTAATTTTAGTGAAGATTCCGAATATTAAAAATGTCTTCGGTGATGCCGATATAATGTCACAATATATAATAAAATTAGGGACTAATTCGGAAATTTGTATTACCTATTACTGTGATTTGTTTGGGGCATGGCGGCCACTCAGATCCTCACAGTACCGTAACGGTTTAACAAATTCAAGTGCATTCTTTCTGCGGGGGAACAAACCACAACACAAAATATGTAAACAGTATTTGTAAGATATATAGTATTACCTTATTCGAAACGAAATGTTTTGGGTCCAACTGTGGCCAATACCAAAACTACAGTTGAATTTCCAAATACTAGTTAATAATAGTTTTTAAGAAACAAAGGAGAGAACAATACGAATTTTCTAAAGCATACCCCCCCCCCCCCCCCCCCCACCCACACNTCAAAGTATCTCTTATTTTACAGAGATGCTATATAACAGAAACCTATAACTCTTTGACGTTTGAACATGGATTCCGGACAGATTGCATCGACGACAAGGTGAACAAATTCATAGGCTATAAGCAAAAAGATTTGTATTGTATGGTGATATATATTTGTCACTGGTATTCTGGGTAAAGTAAATTTCCATCATCATTTGATTATTTCAGATGATGATTTGATTATTTCAGATGATTCGTATTTAAAGTCAAATTATTTTAACGTAAATAAGAACTAAAAAATAATAATAGTAAGCAATATTTGCCTGAAAACATTTTCATTCTTGGCTCTTAGGGATATTGTGCTTTTCTTGATAGATACACGAACACATGTTGTTCGGCAACATTCACTGTTCGTGTGCAACTTTGTTGTATGGACAATCTTGCTCGAAAATACGTTATTGAATATCAACAAATAGTTTCTAATCTGACATTAGGAAACATTTTTTGTATGTATACAGCTGTGCTCTAACCTGACATACGGAAGCCCTATAAGTGGGTCTGGTCCGGCTCTGATTGGTCGCCGATCTCACTTCCACTTGTCTTTTGACGGTGACTGCTGCGGATCCGACTTATGTAATGACAGGGTGCAGACAACACAAGCGCCCATAACAACTACGCCGGGACCAGCAATCACCAACAAGCCCAGTGGACCTAGCGGTGCACCAAATCCCCGAGGTAATGAAAAAAATAGTTATCTGTAATTTTGAAAACAAGATGGTTTTGATTTTATATATCTCCCTTAAAATTTGGCAGATTTTCATTGTACGTGGGGTCGCCCTCTTGCTTCAGGCTGGAGAGAATTTACATTTAGTCCAATATGAAGATCGGTAGACTGGCAAGCTGGGAGTCATTGATTCGATAGGTGCAAGGAAGCCTCTTTCTTTCCTGCTACAAAAATGATAAAATGATAACGGCTCATGAAGATTTTTGTCTTTCCTGTTTTGTGTGATCCACTGTAACATATTGCTTTGTCTTCTAATTTGCCTCACATGTTGAGACTGTCATGTTTGTGTCCCCTGTTTTGCCTCTGATGTTAACATGTGTTATATTGTTTTGTGTCTCGATTTCGTCCTTTTGTGTTGACGCTGTGGTATCAACATTTGTATGGGCAATAAGGCACTAAAGGGGGAAATATTATGACGATTCATTAAAAAGTAGGGATCAAATGTGGGTTTTTTTAATTTAATATACCAAAAGTTTGTAACTGGAACGGAGACTGTCCCCCGGGATTCCATGCCCACAACAGGATGTGCTATAACTTTGGTCCTACGGAAATGGAATGGGACGATGCGCTGGTAAATATTGTTTATACGATTCATATATAAGAATATCATAAACATTTATCATACTTTAGCACTTTAGACACTTTACATTAGTGATGTATCTTGTTTATTTCATTGACAATGGCACACACAACTTTTAAATAGAGCAGTGTTCTGCACAATGATTGAATGAATATATGAAAAATATAAAATAAAATAAAATTGATACCGTTGGTTTAAAATGATTTTTGCTATTTCTTAAAATTAGCCCCCTCCCCCCTTCTAAAAAGAGAAAACAAAAGTGAACCCATATCGACCTACTCTATGTTTTAGTCATGCTTCCTGAACAATACATATGTTTTTCTTACCTTCTTATAATAGTTTATTTCTGTAAATGGTTGTCGACAGACTACGAATTCAACAATATTTTCAGTTACAACCAACTTGCTCATGCTGTTTTTGTTTCTGTGTTAAATTCTTTTCATCATGTATTCAAATTTACACCTAGGGTTATTGTAAAGAAAGATGTTCTCACCTTGCTGAACTGAAAACGGATTATCAACTACAGAACGTCATAAATTATTTCCGCCATCAGCCAAACTCAGGTATTGTATTAATGTTTTGTGTCTGGGTCTACTTAGTTACGAAATTATTCATATCACAAATATTTTCTATTCGTGATAAATATTCCTGTCGTTAAAAATTAACAATAATACATCGAAACAATATACCTGTATTAAAAGGGATTTCTTAGGTCAATAATGTATCGAATTTGAACCTTCACATGTTAAATTATTCAAGTGGTCGGGTGGTGCAGTGGATAGTGCACTTGCCTTTCACCAAGGTTGCCGGGGTTCGATTCCCCGATCGGGTTGGGGTCACCTGCCCGACCACGTGGGTTTTCTCCGGGTACTCCGGTTTCCTCCCACACTAAGACCCCCACGCGCTAACATCCGGGTCAACAAGAGTGATTAATATAAGTTGAAATAACTTGTTTCATAAATGTTGTAAAATAATTAAAGTTTATATATTTATATTTTATATTTAAAGTATTCTAAAGATTAATAAAAAATGAAAATAATTTTATCTGCAGTTGATGCATAAAGATAACTTATGTCACGTTTTGTGTACGGTTTTCTCTTTGGGAGTCATTGGTGGCTTTGCTTTGTTTTCATTTTATTGGTGCTGTCTTTTACCTTGTCGTATTGTATGCTTAGTTTTGATCTTGTATGTAAGCAATGCGATGTCGAATTTTTCATTAAAATTTAAATAGTAATTTTTTTTCAATTCTTATTACAGTATACCGGAATCATTTCGCTGCAGTTTAATTTTCGCCCGCCGTAATTTGTGCGAATTTATTATTACAGCGAACAATATTTAACAACATAATATGCATTGTAATTTAAAATGAAAGGCTAAACGAACACTGGGCGAAAACGCATTATTCTGATGAAGGGCGAAAGCTTAACTGGGCGAAAGTTTACCTGTATACAGTAAAGAACTCAGTTAGTAATTTTGTGTAAAGTAAAGTAGCTTTATGTAAAACTGTCTTTGATGCTTCGCAGTTTTGCAATATCTGCATAGTTTGTTGTTTCTAAAATCGGAATATATCAAATTGCAATTATAATAAAAAAATTAAAGTTTAGAAATTTCAATATATGTAACAAAAAGGACTAAGTACCTAACCCTGCCATAGACCTCTTCCACTGTTTTTTTATCTGTATTTTTTAAACTGATTGAACAAAGTGAAGAAAATAGGATGTGAAAACGACGAAAAAACCCAATTTAGTTTTAATAATCCTTTTTGTAATTAAGAGTAAGTTAAATCATATTTCAGGATGTCATCCACAAATGGATTATTTCACTGGGGCGGTGGAAACTGGTACCGACATATTTAAATGGATTTGGTATCACAGTGGTGATGCCGTTAGCTCTAGCGTTCTCGTCGCTTATATCAATAGCAAAACCCATTGCAGTGTTGTAAGACATATCGGGGGACCTAGCTTCCTGTTATCGCACAGACATTGCTATTATCTGTTTCGACCAATGTGTGAAGTTGCAATGCCGTCTCATTGATTGAGTTTTAAATGTTAGAAGGCTGGTACACAATATAAAAGCATTTTTTTCGCACAAATTTGTTGGTTTATGTTTGTACTTCCGAAGAGCCAAGTAAGCTTTAGCCGTGGCGCGGTGTCCGGCGTCCGTCCGTCCGTTCACTCATTTATCCGTCCAACATCAGCTCATTACTTTAAACGACTTCTTCTTAATATCCGAAATGCCTAGGGTGATGATATTTGGCAAGCAACATTATAGGATTAATTGCAATCAAGTTTGTTCAATTGAATGACTTTCACCTATATTCAATGTCGCAAGGGTAAAAAATGTTACAAATTTCAACAACTTCTTCTAAATAGCCAAAATGTCCAGGATTATAATATTTCGCGAGTAGAATATGCTAATAAAGAGTTAATAACTTTGTCCAAATGAATGACTTTTACCCATATTAAAGGTCAAACCTTTAAAAAACTTCTTCATACTAATTAAAAGGCTTAAGATGATGGTGCATTGATTTGAATAGTACAATGCTAGGGGCACGGAGTATAAAGTTTCTTCCAATGAATGACCTTCATAAGTTTCAAAATCACAGGGGTAAAATATGTTAAAATCCTTTAAATTATGTCGTCTGAATAACCAAAAGATATAAGGTAATAATAGTTGACCAGTATCATGCGCAGGTGAAGAGCTGCGTGGTGTAATCAAATAACTGACCTTCAGTTGTAGTCAAGGTCACAGGGTCAATGTGTTGCAAATATCTTAATGACTATTCTGAAAAAAACACCAAATAGTCTTAGATGGTGCTATTTAGGCAGTAACAAGTTCAGATAACGAGCTACGACCTCAGTTCAAATCAAAGACCTTCGCCCTATATGCAATGTTACAGAGGTCAAGTGTCATGAAAACATTTAAACATTTTTTCAGAACAAGCAAAAGGTAAAGAGTTTTGATAATTAGATAGTAGCAGGCTTCGAGGAATAGCTATCGTGTTTGGTCATGTGCATTCCCTTGACCTTCTTTTAATGTTACATGGTCAAATCGATGAGTGTAAAGATTTAAATTACATCTTCTCAATAAACAGACGGTCAAGGGTATTGCTATTTGGCAAGTAGCATCCTGGGATAAAGGACTCTAAAGCTATTTCAACTTATCGAACCTGTTAAACTTTCAATGTCACAGTAGCAAAATGATAACTTGCCTGTAGCTATATTTTAGGTTACAAGTATATGATTAATAGCAGGTGAGCGATGCAAGCCTATTGGGCCTCTTGTTAAGATTATAAATATTGACCAACCTCTCTGATTTGTGACTAGCATATACAACAGACAATCATGGTATCTATAAAGCATTAATGTGATGATGATTATCAAAACAAAGTGCTCTTAGTTCTGCATTGGATTTATAAGACGACATTCTTGTGGCATACTTAGTTTTGCAGATTGATTTCATCGAGATAAACCGCGAAAACAATTTTGCATCATACAGTCTGCAAATGGGAATAATTAAGTCACGGTGACTTATATTTCAGGCTACGATGCTATGGAGGATTATTATATCGGGGCGGTAGACAGGGGCGTAGGGATGTGGACTTGGTTCTACAGCGGTGATGAGGTCGACAGAGACCTTATTACTCCAAGCTTCCACACACACAAATATGATCACTGTGCCACTGTATTTTTTGAAATTGACGACGATGATTCTGAAATCGGCAATGTCCTCTGTGACGAAGTGTTTAGACCGATGTGTCAAGTAAATCAAGCATAAATGGTATATCCATGGACGAAAAGCAATATTGATTAAATTATTTATATATTTGGAGATTGTTATTTTTCTATATTTTTTTCTCTTACTCTTAATTTTTATGCAATTTTGGACGCATAAGATCTAGGATGGGAAGGATGCTGGAACAATCATCACTGCAGGTCGATAGCACATAAACACGACCTGTTACAGATCAAACAAAAGGAAGACATTCTATGGTTCTTGGAGCTTAAAAACAACATTACAATTATCATCAAACATATAAACAGACATGACGTCACTAGCGAGTTTGTTTTGTTGTCCGATCCGTGCATAATTGTACGATATTTTATAGTATACTTTTATTTAAGGTTATACGTAATTGCTCAATACTTCAGAATATTTTAATAAACACGTTAATATTATAGCAAACATTTCAAACGCAGAAACTTTTCTTGCTTTGCATTTACTTTTTATTATTGCAGAGAGCGTTCATTTTTGACCAAAAAAACACCCACGCATAAATAGTATAAATGCAACGAACATGGTCTCGGTATATAAAGTGCTGCTAACTTTGTTGGAAGTGTGTTTCTTATTTAAAAAAACAACAACAAAAAATACAATATACCAGTGTTTGTTGTGTGCACAAATGTTATCATCATACTGACGTCACGGCATGATCGGTTGGATGGAAAGTATAATGTTCTCTAAATGGCAAACAATCCAACTACGGCTTTCTTTCTCTCTTCATGCCATTACTGGTTGAGTTATTATCATAATCACAATGGAATTAGAGAAAAAAACTAGGTATAATACCACTCGTTTCAGGGTATGACCACATCGCGGACTATTTCATAGGGGCAGTTGACAAAGGCGTAGGCGTATGGACATGGTACAACAGTGGTGAAACGGTTGATAGCGACATAGTGGTACCGGATTACCACCAGCACACTAAAGATCACTGCGCTATTGCCATGGAAGTCAGCGTCGGGGCCCCGTTCGAACATGACTTTGACTACGGTGCCGCACTTTGTACCGATGTGTACAAACCAATGTGCGAGGTGATGCGTCAGTAGGGATGACGTCATGAAGGATAGATCGAGTTTCTCACATTGTTGAAACACTATTCAGATTATTAAAAAATGTACATGCATTCATGCTTAGTTGAGTGTAACGTACTTTTTTGCTAAGAAAGTCGTTTGTAAAGGAAAAAAAAGGTTTCGAACATCAATGAAAAAATGAATATTGAGGTTTAAACTCTTTCAATACATGAAAACTAACCGCGTTATTTATATAGCAATTTACGCATACTTAAAAACGAAACAAACAAACAAAATTGGCAGTCAGAAGGAGACCTCACTCTTTTTCTTCTTTATTATGGTAATATCGTTTCATATACATATATATTTTCTTGTCATATGATACGGGGAAAGGCCACAATTTCACCATATCTATAAGCTTTCCTATAAGTAAACGCCGCGAGAGTCCTGCATTCCATTGATTTGAATATTTATGAGTAATATTTATAGTTGTTCAGTCCTATCACAACTGCGTACTGTTTTCACAATTGCAATAACTAATGGCACACGGAAGTTTTAGTATAGTTGAGGTTAAAAAATAGCACTACATGTAGTTTTGTACATTGTGTAAGCCCCAAAATAAAAACGAATATATATATATAAATGCGTCCCTGGTATTTATACTTCCTTGTTCTTACTACCTGTAATATAGGCGTACACAAAGACCAACATGAACGTATATTCCACTGGGCTTAGTCTGTCTCGTCGACTGTCCATGACTTCACTTACTGTTTCAATGGTAGGTAGGGAATTGTGACATGACGTTCGGTCAAAGCTTCAACTTCTGTGTCCCAAAGTCCAGTTGGTATGCATCAAAACCTTGTAGGAGTAAGTCATCGTACATCTTTCCTATTGAGTGCGATTGTGGACTTAATATAGCACTGGGTTATGTATTCAAACTTGTATAAGCTTTTCGAACGCATCGGTGCATTGACTTACACTCAGTAAGTGTATAATGGAACAAAATTACGGATATGGCCGTTTTGATAAAGTGTTTAGACCCTTATTTCTATTGTACCATGAACGAATAAAGATAAATTGTATTTAACCTTTTTTTTATATTTACATCTGGTGTGGCAAAGCCCTTCTTTATTATTACTAAAGTACTGCCAATAGCAGCTTTATCTTATGAGACTATAACTGAAGTTGGTCTTTGCACCTCCGAGCGACTTTACAGTGTCACTCCCGAACTTATCGGTATCTTCTGCTTTGATCCCGAACACCAGCTGCCTGTCTCAAGTGTCTGTGTGATCAACAAACAATTTTACGCCTGGATTTTTCACCAATTCAACCTTCTCCGGTTGCACGATCAGCATCAACAACATGCCGGACTGCAACTATAACCCTGACCTGATTACTGCGAGCTTCCGTTGAGTGCGTACGCCGGATATAGGTCGCAATAAAATCGGAAAGTGTTTTACGACACTTGATTAGTTACTTACAAAATGTTATTTGTTACTATTTATGAATCGAGAACATGATATAAATATATAAATTAAAAACAAATGAATTATTAACGAAAGTTGCGGAGCCTTTTCAATTTTGTATTGGAAATACCACGTGACGTCACCTGTTATCTTTGTGCTGTTCTAGATATTGACCTGACCTGACGGTAATAAGCGGGAAATTTGAAATTTGGAAAAGACATCATTTTTTTTTTTTCGAATTCTCATTATGGAAATATAAATATAAGCAATAAACTGCATAGATGTGGCAGACCAACTGGTATAACTGCCACTAGCGCGCACCATGATAAGTTTGTCTGTGACACATGTGGCAGTTATACCAGTTGGTCTGCCACATCTAAACTGCTTAAATGTATATGCTATTATATGATTGATGTTGTCTTTGTGAACAAATAAATATTAAGGTGTTATGCTTCAGTGAGATGCTAAAGTTTTCAGCAATCATCGGTGAAGATTATGACTTCAACTTATTACCAACAATTGCATGAAACAATATAGATATTTTCAAATTTACCAACGAGGCGCATTATATAAAATTAAATTTAATGGTTGTTGGGCTCACACAACGATGTTTCATATAGTCGTTTTAATAAAGTTGTGAATTTTGATATTGTCAGCAATTTGAATGTTTCCTGTGTTAATAAACTATGTGAATCATGGACAGATTCAAAATGGAGAAAAATGGTCATAGCTTGGTAATTATCTTTCACTAAACGTGGAGTACATCCGAGTTTACACTATTGCCATATGGGCTGAATGTTACAATAAAATCACAAGCATGAGATGTTTCGTAATAACCTGTGTCTGCAGCTAGTACAAAGCACAGAATATTCTGATTCGGGGAAAGGAAAACCGAGTCTTCTGTCAAATAACTTAGTATCAACAGAACCTAATATGTTATGTAGTAATCATCGCATTTTGATTATGTAAATAGAAGGAAACCTGACGCTTGTTTTAGAATAGGGAATAAGAATAATGTACATGTTTCTGTAATTAAGGAAATGTTTTTTGAAATATTTGTATTCTAATGAAACGTAAACTATTTTTCAAATAGTTCTTAGAATAAAGTGATATATTAGTGGTATAGTGGTCATTATGTATATGTGAACGAGCTATGATTAACGCTTCAATAACAAAACGTGTGGTAAGTTAATTTTTCCATGTGCAAATAGCATATTCAGAAGTCTGAACTACCAAGATTCGCACCACAACGGTATATAATGGTAACCTATATTATTTTTTTGGGAAAACCACTAATACGGCACATTTGAATCGGACAATTAAACTACGCTATCTATACATTCGATCTGATTGGATGATTTCAAGGTGTCGTAACAAACATAAAGACTATAATGTCTTGCTATAAAATTTCCCATTCCTAAGCATCGACATTCATTCTTTTCTACCATATGATTTGATACCCTGGGATTCGTTCAATGCATCAGTATCTTTCGATAGTTTTTGTTTTATTTATTTATTTCATATTTATTTGTTGCTTTTCTTTTACGACATGAGATAATCATCGGATGGTTTACATTCTGACTTTGCGAATATTTACAACATTATAGTGTCAAAAAGAAGTAAACTATCTTTAAAAAAAATCAATAGTAAGTCATGAAAGCTGATGCAAATTATTAAGAATGCTTCGTCAAAGCTTGGAATTTCAAAACAAGATAAATCCAAAAAAGTATGTGAATAGGAATCTTAAATTAGGAAAAGTTAGTTTCAAAATTCATTTAATGATAAATGGGACCTCTTTGACTTACACCTATGTGGTTATTAAAGGTGCGGAAATACAATTCCTTCTAGAGCATTTAAATGACACTATTTCTATAAAATTATATCCTCACCGTGTGCAGCATATTCCAACTGTTATTTTGATACAAAATATTACAATATTTCAAGAAAGAATTGTTCTTTTTATTGAAGATTTAAGCAGAAATGTATGTGAAATGTCATTACAAATGAGAACATTTCCATTATTGACACGTTAATTTACATAGTTCTAAAACGAGTCTATTTTTCATACTTGCCTAAAGGTTGGCTATCAATAATATCTTTTAACATCAGAAATTTCAAAAAGATTGACAACCGGTAAATGTGTCATGTAACACTTTTGATTAAAAAAAGAAGAACATAGCTTCCTTTCCACCTTTTCTTTAACTTGTGCTTCTTCATGACCAAAGGTCCTTGGGTCTTGATATTTGGCAAGTATGTTGTTAATGTAAATGGATTAAAGTTTTGTAAACGTTGATGACCTTGACCTTCGTTCAAAGTCACAAAAATCAAATATAATTTTTGTATGGGGAGTAAGACAAGGATAACTTTCCTTGCTTTATTTGTTTAGAGTTAACGATATAGAATAGTGTAATATTCCTTTATATTTTGTTTAATGAATTGGCAATAGGCAAAATAAAATAATAACTAGAACTGTAAGCTAAAGGCCAACTAAGGCAAAGCATTGCAAAGCAATCCATAGTTTCCCAGCAGTAATTATTTAAGTGTATAGGTCACTTACATACGTCCTGTACTCCCTCCCCATACATATACCAAAACATACTTGCATTCGTGTTAGCCCAGATGAACCAGTTCTGCTGAAATCGTTCTAGTGGTTGAGGAAGAGTTGTCAAGACAAAGATTTTTAACAAAGGGCCATAATTCCTTAAAAATGGTCGAAATGAAAAAAAATACTACCCTGATGCAAGACATCAGGGGTAATTACCATATCTGTAACCTTTCATTGAAATCCGCCAAGATGTTTATGAGTCAGACCAAGGTGTTTTTTTTCAACAAAGGATGCACAATGTCATGTGGTAGCTATCATATCTGAAAACTTTCGTTGACATTGACCTTTTAGTTTTGGAGGACATGTCCTTCGAGGATTTTTCAACAAAGAGTCATAACTTTGTAAAAGAAGGGTCAGAATGTAAAAAATAATACCTGGATGCACAATTTCAGGTGGAAGTTATCATATCTGAAACTTTTGTTGAAATTGAACTTCTAGTTTTTGAGGACATGTCCTAACAAGGATTTTGCTACAAAGGGTCATAACTTTGTAAAAGAAGGGTCAGAATGTAAAAAATAATACCTGGATGCACAATTTCAGGTGGTAGTTATTATATCTGGAACTTTCGTTGACATTGGTCCTTAGAAGGAGATGTCCGGACAAACCTTTCCTACAGACAGACAGACGGACAGATAAGCTGATTCAAGTATACCCCCTTACTTCGTTGCGGGGTATAATTAAGTGTATAATACTGAAACTGTTAAGATCATTTTATTGTTTTAATATAATTGCATATCTTTGTCTATAACACAATCTCTACCTTAAGTAGTTCTCCAGAGGAAAGATACTTTGGCAGAATACATATTCATGGATTATTACTGCTGCTCATAACTTTAAAACATGCGTAATATAATAAAGTGTCTTGGTATGATACAAAACAGAAAAAGTATCGGTATTTACCATAATAAACACAGATAATCAAATCTCCATGATTTTGTGAAATTAGCCTTTGATCACGTTTGGCACGCAAAAAAAGTTCTTTACCGGTTTTGATATCACATAGACATGGTAAGTATATAACCGAGTAAGTACCGATTATGGTAAGTTGTCAAAGAGGTTTTATATATAGACTAATATTGT